TTAATTTGAATTCTAAATTGAACAACTTATCAAATAAGTTTAAAAGGATAAATTTAAATTATGTTTATGATTCAAATTCAAATTTAAATAATCACATTATTTAAATAATAATTAATTCTTAATTAATTATTTTTCATGTATTTAATTTTAGAATTCTGTAATTCTAAAATTCTCATTTTGCCCTTTGTGTCTGGTAGAATTACAAGGACGACGCGGGGACTAATTGATCTATAATCTCGAGCTTAAATAAAATTAATAATTAATTAAACACTTTAATTAATTAATTAATTATATTAATTCCAATAGTTACTCCACTATAAACTTGGAATTAAACTCTCGAAATTATAGACATTAATTACTTCTAAACTGTGAAATGTCCATTTGATATAGTCATTGCATATAGATCAATCCTCCATAAATAATTCATAATTAGAGCCAGGTAGAATCCATTAACCTCTCTAATTATATTTGCATCCTTGAGTACCATTGATTCTCTAATGGATAGTGATTCATAAAACACATTCATGAACTAGAGCGCTCTTACTAATCCAAGTACCGAATCAACACTTAAGAGAATTATTTATCTACTTCTTTCTCAAGAAGGAATGGATTTCATCTTGTATAATAACATTCCCGGCTACCTATTTCATCATGTCTCTAAAATATAAGGAATAGGATTCAGGGTCTCAGAATCCGTACTGAGTAAATTAAAAGACACAAATCTATAAATAGGAGTTTGTTAAGAACTCAGGATTAAGATCATTCTATATATGACCATCGGTAGACTCAATTAAAATTTCTATGCTTAACGAAAATTATTAGAAATTCATATTGTGTCTGTGTCCCTGTTCCACACAATCTCATTATGCGAAATACACTCATTCAATATCTCACCATATTAACAGTGCGGATAGCACCGTTCCATTCTAAATAAGAATGACATGTATTAATAATGTTTTAATTAAAGATTCTGAAATTTAATTAAATTCATTATGAATAACGTTTTTTATTATTATCATTAAACATTATCCTCTCGTATATAACACTTATATACAATGTTTAATAATCATGGAATTTTCATTTTGATATTCATAAAATTTTCATAAATATATGCACATAAAATGATAAATAAACTCTTTTATTAATTAAATAATAAATATCCTATAACATCTCATGCTTCTAGAACACCATTCCTAACACCGGATGGTCTATATTGATCAGAGGGGATCCGTGTTCCCAATTAAATTTTACATAATCTCCCCTAGGAGACTTACAAAATTTTAAGTTAGGAATTATCGTTGTGAGGTTGTGATTTTTTTAAGGTTTTGACACACAAACATATTTGTTGCATTATAATATGTATATATGTTTGATTACTAAAAGTTTATGCAAGTTTGCTTATACTAGATATATGACTGTTTATTGTAGATCAAAATGTCTTCTAGCGCATTATCACCGATACTTAATAAACACAATTTAACTGGCGAGAATTTTACCGATTGGAAAAGGAACCTAAAGATCGTCCTAACGTTTGAGAAACTGAATTTCGTACTAAATACACATTGTCCTCCAGAGCCACCTATTGATACTCCTAATGAGGTTTTCATAGCGTATCAACGCTGGAAGGACTTTGACGATATGGCTCGCTGTTATATGATGGCAAACATGTCCACTGTGCTACAAGCACAACATGAAGATTACATAACTGCTCATCAGATTATGGATAATCTTGAGGACATGTTCGATGGCCAAGCCGCTGAAAAATGCCGGGAAGCCCTCAGTAACCTCATTAACTGCAGACAGAATGCTGGGTCTTCCATAAAGGAACATATGCTGAAAGTGATGGGCTATTTGGCTGAAGTTCAGACCAATGGGGCCAACATCGATGCTGAGTCTCAATTGACCATGATCTTTGAGATTTTATCGAAGGAGTATATTCCATTTAGGGCAACATTCAATTTGAGCGCTAGACAGAATATAACCCTGACAGAGTTTATGCAAGAACTCTAAAAGTTTGAGCGGATGATCAAGGGGTCGACTATTGTGGAGACCAAATTTGCTGAGGCATCTTCCTCCAAACCCTCTCCAAGGAATGGAAAGAAGAAGTAAGGAGTTAAGGAGAGTTCTTCAGTTCCGCCAAACAAGGGCAAGAACAAGAAGAAGAAGAACCCGAACAAGCTTAAGTGCTTTCATTGCGGGAAGGTGGGGCACATGAAGAAGAATTGCAAAGACTACCTAGCCTCTAAAGGCAAAGGAGGTGAGTGTGATCTTTTGATTGTGGAAGCATGTCTGGTTGAGGAATCCAGTGACAACTGGGTCATAGATTCTGGAGCAACTAATCATGTGTGTGTTTCTCTGCAGGGATTCAAGCAAACAAGAAGTCTTCTAAATTAGAGCTTCACGTTGAGGATGGGTGATGGAACACTAGTGTTGGCTAAAACAGTGGGAGATGTCTATCTTTATTTTGATAGTTATAGGAGTTTATTTTTGCGAGACTATTTTTATGTTCCTCAATTTAAGAGGAATCTTATTTCTGTTGCTTGTTTATTTAAGGATTCTTATTCAGTTTCTTTTAATAATAAAGTTGTAATTCGTAAAAATAAGTCTTTTATCTGTGATGAATGGATGCAAAATAATCTCTATTTTATCAAATTTAAGATGGACTCACTCTTATAAGACATATCTTTGGCATTTCTGACTTGGTCACATTAGCCTTAACATGATATAGCGGTTGGTAAAGGATGGACCTTTAAGTTGTTTAAAGGTTGAGTCTTTACCCCAATGTGAATCTTGTTTGGAGGGCAAAATGACCAAAAGACCATTTGGGTCTAAAGGCAATAGGGCTGAAGATGTTCTTGAACTTGTACATAGTGATGTTTGTGGTCCCATGAACATCAAGGCAAGAGGAGGGTATGAGTATTACGTCACTTTTATCGACGATTACTCAAGATATGGTTATGTGTACCTATTGCGCCACAAAAGTGAAACTTTTGATAAATTCAAGGAGTTTCAGGCTAAGGTGGAAAAGCAACTGGGTAAACCCATAAAGGCACTTCAATCCGATCGAGGTGGAGAATACCTCTCTGATGAGTTCACTAGATACTTATTAGAGAATAGGATTCTATCCCATTTAACTGCATCTGGCACTCCACAGCAGAATGGTGTAGTTGAGAGAAGAAATAGGACATTGTTGGACATGGTACGGTCCATGATGTGTTATTCGACATTGCCTATATCTTTCTGGGGATATGCTTTACAAATTGCATGTTATCTTTTGAATAACGTGTCAACAAAGTCGGTTCTTAAAACTCCTCAAGAGTTGTGGACGGGCAGGAAGACATCTTTGAACCATATTCGCATATGGGGATGTCCTGTACATGTCCTGGACAAGGAAGCGAACAAGTTAGAAGCACGTTCAGAAGTGTGAATTTTTGTAGGTTATCCGAGAGGGACGAAAGGGGGTTATTTCTATAACCCCAAGGAAAATAAAGTCATGGTTTCAACGAATGCAACATTCCTTGAGGAAAGTTACATAAACGACTTTAAGCCTCGTAGCAAAATGGTGCTTGAGGAAATATCGAGTGACTTGGTCATACCGACTGTTCCTTTAGAAACCGGTCCAATCAGAGTAGAAAAGGAAACCCAACAACAACCTAAGGGGCTTCGGCGTAGTGGGAGGATCAGACATGAACCTGAGAGATTCATGGCTAATAGGGAAAATTTTTTGGCAGAATCTCTGGAACATGACAGAGATCCTTATACTTACAAAGAAGATATGGAGGATGTTGATGCAAACCTCTCGACAGAAGCCATGAAAACTGAGATGAAATCTATAGATTTTAATCTAGTCTGAGAACTTATAGATCCTCCTAATGGGATTAAGCCCATTGGGTGTAAATGGGTCTACAAGAGAAAGAGAAATGCAGAAGGAAAGGTCGAAACTTATAAGGCTAGACTGGTAGCTAAAGGATACACGCAAAAGGAGGGAATCGACTACGAGGAAACCTTTTCGCTTGTAGCCATGCTTAAGTCCATCTGCATTCTCTTATCCATTGCGGCAGCTCTCGACTACGAGATCTGGCAAATAGATGTCAAGATGGCGTTCTTGAACGGCCATCTTGAGGAAAGTATCTATATGGTACAACCAGAAGCCTTTGGAGCTAAGGGTCAAGAGGAAAAAGTTTACAAGTTGCTGAAATCCATTTATGGATTAAAGCAAGCTTCCCGTTCTTGGAGCAAAATATTTGACCAAGTGGTCAAGACTTTTGGATTCCAACAGAATATGAATGAACCTTGTGTTTATAAGCATATTCAAGATTGGAAATTGGTTTTTCTACTGTTATATGTTGATGATATTCTACTCATTGGCAATGATGTAGGGGCTTTGTCATCAGTCAAAGTTTAGCTTACCAAACAGTTTGACATAAAGGACTTAGGATAAGCTAATTATGTTCTAGGCATTCGAATCTTAAGAGATCGAAAGAACAAAATGATAGCTCTCTCTCAGGCTTCATACATAGATAAAATTCTCGAGAAGTATGCAATGCAGAATTCTAAAAAAGGTGGGTAACTATCTAGGTCTGGAATTACTCTTTCAAACAATGATTGTCCCAAGACATCTGAGGAAAGAGAATACATGGTAAAGTTACCTTATGCTTCGACGGTCGGGAGACTCATGTATGCAATGTTTTGTACTCGACCGGACATTTGTCATGCAGTCGAGATTGTAAGTCGATATCAGTCGAATCCAAGACCTAACCACTGGGTAGCAGTCAAGCATATATTCAAGTATCTTCGGAGGACTAGAAATTATATGCTGATATATACCGGGGAGGATTTGACACCTCTAGGATATACAGATTTAGATTTTCAATCCTGTTTGGATTCTAGGAAATCGACTTCGGGTTCTGTCTTTACTCTAGGAGGTAGTTCCGTCGTTTGGAGGAAGGTCAAGCAAATTTGCACTTCTGACTCAACGATGGAAGCTGAGTATGTGGCAACTAGTGATGCTTCAAAAGAAGCAGTATGGCTCCGCAAATTTCTGATGCATCTTCAAGTAGTTCCTGCTGTGGATAAGCCATTGAGACTATACTGTGATAACAGTGCAACAATAGCTAACACCAAAGAACCAATATATCAGAAAATAAGTAAGCACATAGACAAGAAGTATCACGTGATAAGAAGCTTTATTGAAGAATGGCATGTGGAAATATGCAAGATCGCGTCGGAGGACAATATGGCTGACCCGTTTACGAAGGCCCTGCCGGTTAAGGTCTTCAAGAAGCATGTCGAGGCTATGGGGATGCGTAGCAAGTCACATTTACTCACTTAAGTGCAAGTGGGAGATTGTTAGCGTTTATGCCCTTAGGAATAAATGTAACAATATTCTTTGAGACATTTTGACTATTAATAAAGATTTGTTTATTTCAGATATCTATATATTGTCCTCTTTATGTTCATAATAGTTGAATGTATGATAAGCAAACTGAAAGTCTGAGACTGTCATTCTAAATCTTTAGGTCATGCATGTAATGTGAAGAACATGCAGAAGACAAGAATCTAAAGATGATAGTCTAAATCTTATGATCCACGGTCGAGGGAATAAAGTTGGGCGCCTTATTCATGTTAAGATTGTTATATTGTCTACTTTCTAACGGAGATGGCTTGTCTTGGTCATCGGAGGTGGGACTCCATGGGTGGACACATTAATATAGTTTCTAATTGTGAAATCTATATTAGATCAGACCAAAATTGAATTGTTTTAATTAATAATTTTGTTTGAATAAAACAATTCACTTTTGATGAATTATATGTTGTCATCTTAATCCTGAGATGGATGATAAACCCGTATGCTTGACTTGTATCCTTTGATGTACTAAAGGGACACATCCTGACATTATGTAAAGGTATGCTTGCCGGTATATTGGGGGTATGACTCGTGTATGCGTAGATTCGTTATTCATAGATAGTGAAATCCATAGCTCCTATAAAGAGTCAATGATATCCTCTTATGCATTATTAGTGGATTGAAAAATACGAGCGCTCGGCCATTAGACTACTCTGTGTTATCAAATGGTTTACTGTTTGTAATTGTATGAATAGTGTTTTTCTGATGGTATGATAATTGAACATAAGATAAATGTAATCAGGAATGTAAAACGGAACTTGACCTCAAGTCGATTATGGATATCCTATGGGGATGATACACTAATATATTGAGTCATGGACTAGAGCTAATCACAATTTTGTAAATACGCTATATAAATCGAGAGTGCAGCTCTAGGCTTTTAGTGGAATAGCGCTAGAGTTTTATAATCATGAGACGGACTTGTTGGTTTACAAGTAGCATTGTGATTATAAGAGCTTGATTTATATATGTCCATCAGGTCCCTTTGCTAGCTCACATTATTTCCTGTAATGATACGGTATATTTTTTACATATTGGTAACTTATATTATTTTCATAAAATGCGTTCAAAGTTAATAAGAGAATGGTTAATTCATTAATGATTTATCGGGTGAATTAATTGATAAATTAATTCTAGATAAATTTGTTGAATTATTATTTTAAGAGTTGTTTAATATGGGAAGACTATTATATGACTGTTTTGATCAGGCAATTTCTCTATTGGGTTGCTTGAATCAAAACTGATGCTCTATGCAAGTTTCCCGAGTTGAAAAACTAAGAAAACAACTTTCGTCAGTGTAGACAGGTCGATCGCTTGGGTAGACCAGTCAGGTCGACCGGTGAGTTATAACGTCTCTGTCACCGATCGACCGGTTGTAACGCAAAATGCATGCTGACATGGCAAAATCGACTCTGGATGCGATTAAGACTTTAGGAAACCTAATTATTACGGAAGTATGACTTCCTGAACACTATAAATAGTCTATTAAGTCACATTACTCATTAGATCACTTGAGAGACTTTTTGGAGGCTATTGATAAAAGATTCCTGAGAGGAAAAATTGTTTAATTCTCAAGAACAATTTTTTCTTTGGCTCTCTTGTGATTGGAAGCAGATGAAGAATACCAAGAGGAGATCAAACGACGTGTGACCACCCGCACTCCGATCGTGGAAATGAGAATAGCAAAGAAGACCAGTTGGTTGAGGCTCTTCTGATTTAGATCTTTAGTATTTATGTTATATAGCATCATGAACATGTTCTTAATTGGCTTTGGCATTGATTTAAATTTTTTAAAATTCCGCTGCGCACTCAATGCCATAATTTCCCAACACAAACCCCCAAACCCTTAAACCCATAAACTCCAGCCCCAAACCCCAAACCCAAAACCCCAAAGTCCAAACCCCTAACCCCTAACCCTAAACCCCAATCCCCAAACCCCTAACCCGTAAACCATAAACCATAAACCATAAACACTAAACCATAAACCCCGAACCCTAATCCCTAAACCCTAAACCACGAACCCTAAACCCTAAACCTTAAACCCTAAACCCCGAACCTTAAACCCTAAAGCCTAAACCATAAACCCCAAACCCTAAACCGCCTAAAACCTAAACCCCTAACCCCAAACCTCAAACCCTAAACCCTAAACCCTAAACCCTAAACCCTAAACCCTAAACCCCAAACTCCAAATCCCAAACCCTAAACCCTAAATCCTAAACCTGAAACCCCAAACACAAAACACTAAACCCTAAACCTTAAACCCTAAACCCCGAACCCTAAACCCTAAAACCCTAACCCTAAAACCCAAACCCTAAACCCCCAACCCCTAACCCCTAACCCCAAACGCCAAACTGGAAACCCCTAACCCCAAACGCCCAACCCGAAACCCCTAACCCCAAACAAATAACGGTAAATCCTAAACCCCTAATGGCAAACCCCAAATCCGAAACCCCTAAACCCAAACCCTAAACCCCTAACCCTAACCCTAACCCCAAACCCCTAACATCAAACCCTAAACGCTAAGACCTTGACCCTAAACCTGAAAGCCCTAACCCTAAAACCCAAACCTAAAACCCTAAACCCCGAAACCTAAAATCCGAAACCCTGAAGCCCTAATAACAAACCCCAAACCCTAAACCCTAAACTCCTAAACCCTAAACCCCTAAACCCAAAACCCCAAAACACAAACCCCAAACCCCCAACCCCAAACCCCGAAACCCAAACCCCGAACCCTAAACCCTTAACCCCTAACCCCAACCCCTAAACTCTGAGCCCCAAACCCCTGAACCCTAAACTCCAAAACCCCTAACCCTAAATCCTAAACCCCAAACCCCGAAACCTAAACCCCAAACCCCGAAACCTAAACCCCAAACCCTTAACCCCTTACCCTTACCCCTAAACCCTAGTCCCCAAACCCTAAACCCCATATCCCTAAACACCTAACCCCTAAACCCCTAACACCAAACCCCTACACCCTTAACCCCAAACCCTAAACCCCTAACCCTAGACCCTAAAACCTAAACCCCTAACCCTTATCCCCTAACACTAAACTGAAAAACCTAAACCCTAAACCCCTAAACCACAAACCCCTAAACCCAAACCCCAAACCTCATACCCCAAACCCCTAACCCCTTATCCCTAAACCCTAAACCCTAAACCCCAAACCCTTAAACCCATAAACTCTAACCCCAAACCCCAAACCCCAAACTCCAAACCCCTAACCCCTAACCCCAAACCCCTAAACCATAAACTCTAAACACTAAACCATAAAACATAAACCCTAACCCCTAAACCTTAAACACTAACACCTAAACCCAAACCCATAAACCCAAACCCCTAACCCTAAACCCTAAACCCTAACCCTAGACTGTGAAACCTAAACCCCTAACCCTTATCCCCTAACCCTAAACTGAAAAACCTAAACCCCTAAACCACAAACCCCTAAACTAAAACCCCAGACCTCAAACCCCAAACCCCTAAACCCATATCCCTAAACCCTAAACCCTTAACCCTTAACTCATAACCGTCAACGCCCCTAAACTGTGAACCCTAAACCCTAAACCCTAAACCCTAAATCCTAAACCCCAAACTTTAAACCCTAAGCTCTAAATCCTAAACCCCAAACCCCAAACCCCAAACCCCAAACCCCAAACCCTAACCCTAGACCGTGAAACCTAAACCCCTAACCCTTATCCCCTAACCCTAAACTGAAAAACCTAAACCCCTAAACCACAAACCCCTAAACCCAAACCCCATACCTCAAACCCCAAACCCCTAACCCCATATCCCTAAACACTAAACCACAAACCCTAAACCCTTAACCCATAACCGTCAACCCCAAACCCTAAACCCTAAACCGCGAACCCTAAACCCTAAACCCTAAACCCAAACCCCTAACCCCAAACCCCAAACCCCAAACCCCAAACCCCAAACCCTAAACCCTAAGCCCGAAACCCTAAACCCCTAAACCTAACCCCAAACCCCTAACACCAAACCCTAAACCCTAAGACCTTGACCCTAAACCTGAAAGCCCTAACCCAAAAACCCAAACCTAAAACCCTAAACCCCGAAACCTGAAATCCTAAACCCCAAAGCCCTAATAACAAACCCCTAAACCCAAACCCTAAACTCCTAAACCCAAAACCCTAAACCCCTAAACCCAAAACCCCAAAACACAAACCCCAAACCCCCAACCCCAAACCCCGAAACCAAAACCACAAACCCTAAACCCTTAACCCCTAACCCCAACCCCTAAACCCTGAGCCCCAAACCCCTAACCCCTAAACCCTAAACCCCAAAACCCCTAACCCTAAATCCTAAACCCCAAACCCCGAAACCTAAACCCCAAACCCTTAACCCCTTACCCTTACCCCTAAACCCTAGTCCCCAAACCCTAAACCCCATATCCCTAAACACCTAACCCCTAAACCCCTAACACTAAACCCCTACACCCCTAACCCCAAACCCTAAACCCCTAACCCTAGACCCTAAAACCTAAACTCCTAACCCTTATCCCCTAACACTAAACCGAAAAACCTAAACCCTACACCCCTAAACCACAAACCCCTAAACCCAAACCCCAAACCTCAAACCCCAAACCCCTAACCCCTTATCCCTAAACCCTAAACCCTTAACCCTAAACCCTTAAACCCATAA